CCCTGCCGAGCTAAAATCCCCCCTTCACCAAACGCACAGCTGTGTCGATTCTGGTCAAGGAAACCACTGGCGTGTGGCTTGAGGGGTCGTCGGGCTGTCTTTCCAAGGCAATCTGTGGCTGGGCCACAGGTTTGAGGTCGGTGCTGGGGTAGGGAGGGTCCGGGGTGTCGCACTGCATGGCCATGGCAGGCTGAGCCATCACGCTGTTTGCCATGAGTTCTTTATGTACTATAAAGACTCTGAATGCGATGCTCCCGTGGAGCCATGCGTGCTGGTGAGGAAAGAGTTTGGTATAGCGGATCACTCCCGGTGCTGCAAGACAGGAGTCCAACGCACTCTAGGGATGCCGGAGGGGTGCACCTGAAACATACTTGGGCCCCATGAAGCATCCACCGCCTTGCATGTGTATGTGTGTGCTCCTCTCTGCCGATGTAGGCAGTGTGTTGGAAGGCAAGCATCCCGTCGGTTTTCCATTTTCACGATTTCCGTGTTCCGATGAGGTGACCGCACCCACCTGCAACAAAGGCCCAGCAAGGACGCGATGATCGTACTGGCATCATTTTGACATCACTGCAACATATGGAAAGCATGTCTGCCCAAGGTGCCGAGTTGGAGGCTGCGCTGCAGGAGGCCATCGAGAGCGTGGCTCGACAGGGCGACATTGTGCGATCGCTGAAGGCAGACGCCAAGGATGGCAAGGCTGACAAGGTAGGTATCCATGGGGCTCTTTGCATATGGATGTGACCTGCAGGCACGCCCATCTCCCTCCTCCTGCGCGCTCCCAGGCGGCCGTCGACGCGGCCATTGAGGCCCTCAAGCAGCTGAAGGTGGTCCAGGAGCAGAAGCAGAAGGTGGGGCATGGCATGGGGTGCGGGTAAGAGGACGTGCAGACAGGACAGTCTGCTTGCTTTTGGGGCTCGAGACCAGGTCCCGACTGCCACTCAGCATGCATGAGGTGTTGGGGCGCACATTGTGCTGACTGAGTGCCTGCTGCGACCCTCCTCCCAGGCATATGAGAAGGCCACTGGGAAGAGCGGGGTGCAGAGCCGCGAGTCCTTCCGCGCCAACGTGGTGCGTGCCGGGAGAGCTGGCTCTTCGGTCGGCGATTGCTGGGAATTCTGTACCTTCTGCACATGGGGCGAGCATGCAGTGTCACTCCGTGCACCCATGCTCAATATGCCAAAGGGCTCGACTCTTTTGCCCACATGTCTGTATCCAGGAAGCTGTGCATGCACCACTATCTTCTTGACCTCGCGCTTATTTCTTGCGTACTCTCTGACTTTGTCCCACTCTCTTCGATACCAATCCCACCCACGCCCCCCTCCCCAGGTGAATGCCCTGGAGCGCAAGCTCTTTGTCATCCCCTCCTTCAAGATCTACGGCTCGGTGGCGGGCTTCTACGACTACGGCCCCCCCGGCTGCGCCATCAAGTCCAACGTGACCCAGGCCTGGCGCCAGCACTTTGTGCTGGAGGAGGGCATGCTGGAGGTGGAGTGCCCCGCGGTCACCCCCGAGATCGTGCTCAAGGCCTCGGGGCACGTGGAGCGCTTCACCGACTTCATGGTCACCGACGTGAAGACCGGGGACTGCCACCGCGCCGACCACCTGTTGGAGGCGGCACTGGAGGCGGTTTTCGAGGGCCGCACCACGCCGCCGGCGGGCGAGGAGGAGCGCCGCGCCGCGCGCGACCTGCACGCCCGCGTCGGCGAGCTGGGCGTGGCGGAGTTGGGCGCGGCGCTGACGCGCTACGGCGTGGCCGCGCCGGAGACAGGGAACGAGCTGTCCACGCCCTTCCCCTTCAACCTCATGTTCAAGACCAGCATCGGGCCCAAGGGCGACCTCACGGGCTACCTCCGCCCCGAGACCGCGCAGGGCATCTTTGTCAACTTCAAGGACCTGCTCTACTACAACGGCAACAAGCTGCCCTTTGCCGCCGCCCAGGTGCCTAGTGGTCTGGTGTTGGTGGGAGGGAGGCTGAGTGGGGTTGTTCTCAGGATTGTGGTTGGGTGCAGGGTTGAGGGGAGGCTGGGCTGCGAAGCTGGTTGCGTGGCTGGCTTCTGAGGAGCACGCCCCCACATCCTCCCCATCACACTCACTTCCCCATGACACCCTCCCCCCCTATCCCCCCCATTCCACATCGCAGATCGGGAATTCGTACCGGAACGAGATCTCCCCCCGCTCCGGTCTGCTGCGCGTGCGTGAGTTCACCCAGGCCGAGATCGAGCACTTCTGCCACCCGGAGGACAAGCGCCACCCCAAGTTCGGCAGCGTGGCGTCCCTGGCCCCCCTCCTCTACTCCCGCGCGCTGCAGATGGGGGAGGAGAAGCGCGCGCTCCCCATGCCGCTGGGCGAGGCGGTGGCCGGTGGCGTGATCGCCAACGAGACGCTGGCCTACTTCATCGGCCGCACCCACCTCTTCTGCGAGCGCATCGGCCTGGACCCGGCGCGCGTGCGCTTCCGGCAGCACCTGCGCCACGAGATGGCGCACTACGCCGAGGACTGCTGGGACTGCGAGGTGCACTGCAGCCACGGCTGGATCGAGTGCGCGGGGCTGGCCGACCGCTCCGCCTACGACCTCCGCGCCCACACTGCCATGAGCAAGGTGGAGCTGAGCGCGTACGAGACCTTTGCCGAGGCGCGGGAGGTGGACACGCTGACCGTGCTGCCCAACAAGAAGGCGCTGGGCCAGGCCTTCAAGGGCGAGGCCAAGGCCGTGACCGCCGCGCTGGAGGCGCTGTGCGAGGAGGGCGCGCTGGCAGTCAAGGCCGCGCTGGAGGCGGGCGGGCCGGCGACGCTGGAGGCCGGGGGGAAGACCTACAGCCTGCCCCCCGGCTCGGTGGACATCCGGAAGGAGCGCAAGCGGTTGACGGGGCGCAGCTTCACCCCCGCGGTCATCGAGCCCTCCTTCGGCATCGGCCGCCTGCTGTACTGCCTGTTCGAGCACTCCTTCTACTGGCGCGCCGGCTCCGACAAGCGCTCCGTCTTCCGCTTCTCCCCGCTGGCCGCCCCCGTCAAGGCCACGGTCTTCCCCCTGCTCGCGCGCGCGGAGCTGAACGCCACCGCGGCGCGCGTGTCGGCGGCGCTGACGCGCGCGGGGCTGGCCAACGCGGTGGACACCACAGGGAACACCATCGGCAAGCGCTACGCGCGCACCGACGAGCTGGGCGTGCCCTTCGCCGTCACTGTGGACTACACCAGCCTGGAGGACGGCACGGCCACGCTGCGCGAGCGCGACAGCACCGCGCAAGTGCGTGTGCCTCTGGATGAGCTGCCGGCCCTGCTGCGGGAGCTGACCGATCTGCGGCGGACCTGGGCCGACGTGGCCGCGCAGTACCCGGCGCAGGCCGCCCCCGCGGAGGAGGAGTAGTGGGTTGGACGGGGGTGCTGGGATGATGAAGCCGGTGTCTTTCACAGGCCTTCCATGCTGCAGAGTGCGGGTTCGAGACCCTGATTCCCCGGTGCTGTGAGGCATGACAACAGGCGAGAATGCTGATTCTGCGCAAGGAGACTGGGGAGGCGGCAGGGTCGTATGCGTGGGTGAACATGCGTTGAATGACTTCCAGGAAAACCCCATGACCGAGTGCTGGTGCTGCTGCGCGTGAAGCGCCCTCACCACTCAAACACCCCTCGCGGGATCCGAACACGACACAAACAGATCGTCACCATACCGTCCACCAATCAATAGATCGAGTGTCTCCATAGAAACTCAAACATACATCCATTCGCAATGCAGGGCATCAACATCTCTGCTCCCGCGCCTCGCGTGAATTTCGAACTCCTGGGCCAGCACATCGGCAAGCGGGTGCGCCTGGTGGGCAAGGTGGAGGGCGTGCAGGGCAACTCCCTGCAGCTTCGAGCTGCCGACGATGGCATCGTCACGGTGGCGCTGCGAGGGGCGGCTCCCTCCGACCTCTTCATCGAGGTGGAGGGGACGGTGGACAGCCCCACCGCTCTGAGGGAAGAGTCCAGCACAGGATTTGGGAGCAACTTTGGTGAGCGATGCATGGCAGACCTTTTGGTAGATCTCTGGAATTGAATGGGATGCGACGACAGCCCTGTGGAAGACCATCGTGAATGCTGCACCAATCCTCTGTTTGCATGCCTGAGTCGGACTCCTTCACATCCACACCAACTGCTCCCCCACACATCTCCACGCCCAGACATGGCAAACTACAATGAGCTCTGCAAACTCTCACATGGCGAGTTCCGCCCCCTCTTCGTATGAGACGAGAGCCGACCATCAGTCGTCCCTGACCAGCCATGGCAGTAGCCAGCCTCCAGTTCCCCTACGGCAACACCTCTGCATGCATCCAGGCCGCTCTGATGATGACAGTAACGAGTACAGCACATACTCTGCTGGAATCTGTCCTGCCTTGCTCTGCAGTGGCACTCAAGCCCCTCAATCCCCACCATCATGTGCTTGGAGCAATGGCTGATGTGCGTCAGACTCAGAAAGGTGGAGGTCGGTGTGACACAAGTGCACGAGGGCAGGGAGTGCTAAAATAACCTCAGGCAAGCATACTCAAGAGTCAAAGCCAGTTCACAAGTCATGTTGAGCGATGTGGGTGTCGGAAGGCGACGCTCAAGCGGCAAGTTATTGAAAGTTCAGTCTGGGGTAGAGAGACTCCATTGCGGACTCAACAAGCGCATTCTAGGCAACAGCTCCAAGAGTAAAGAGTCAAGACACCGGCTTTCTGGGGAACTCTCTCCCTGTCTCCGGCTGAGAGTCTCCACTGTCTTGCCCAGGACGCACCCTCGATGGCTGGGTCACAGCTTGCTGTGCCTCTCCAGCAGCATCCGTTGGATCCGCTTGGGGAGCCGGCACCCCCTCAGCAATGCCCTCCCGGTACCCTGTCACAAATTGTCGGAGGGCTTGACCGTATGCGGCTGCCCGGCTGGTGTAAAGATTTTGAAGGAAGGGCACCATGGCTTTGCCGCCGCCCTTGGCCGCATCACCTTTGGAGGAAGGAGAGGGGAAGAGCCGGCATGAAGCACCGCATCTCACATTGATTGAGCATCCTGGCAAGCCAGGCAACGCCCGGCATCACTTCATGCCCCTGCACTCCTTGAGTAAGGTTCTTGCACTCACCAAAGCCTTCGACAAGCTCCTGCCACTCCTTCTTGGAAGTCTCCTTCTCGACCTTCTCCCTGATGTAGTCCTCGCCATAATGCTCAGCCAGGTGTCGGTCTATCTTCTCCTGACTCCAGCTATCAAAGTACAGCTTGGTGCCTTTGTACACATTCTGCAGGATTTGATGGAGACATGTCGTGGGACAGGCGATCCTCGAACTGCCCAGGGCCTGCCACAAAGGATTGCCTGCACTTACCTGTAGCACTTCTGACAAGCTGCGCTTTCTTGGAGGCACGTATCCAGGAGGATTTGGGATGGAACGAGGGGCTATAATCTCCACCAAATCGTAGGTGACATAATCCTTGGCTTTACGGAATAACGCCCTGGCTCGGGTCATAGCCTCTTTCGCGACCGAGGTCGGGTTTCCTCGTTCAACGACGCCGCTGCAAGCCTCCTCTCACATGTTAATAGGTAAACATACTTGCAGATTGAAATCTGGAGGTGAATGCTGCCCCTGATTCTCGACCGGATCTCGGAGGCATTGAGTTGCAAGTCTCCTACAGAGTTTCGCTCAGGGTGGCGCGCCCGCGCGCCCAGCCACCCGGCATTCACTACCCAGCACGGGAGAGGCGAGTGCCTCTCCGTCGCATCGACGAGTGTCCCTTAAAACATGGAAGGGACCCTGGAATTTATTTTTAAATCTCCGAAGTTTGCATGCAACCTGATGCGAGCCTCTACCATGGTCTGACAGGGTAGTTACTGCTCGCGCCTGCCACCATATCATACTGCACACTCACAACGAGCTCTCCGACATGATTGCTGGATAGGCCAAGGATATACATTCTGTTTATAGGATGGCAACGTCTTCTTCAGACTCGGAGGACTGCAGGTTCGAGTCGGACCTCGACCCAAACACAGACATCGACAATGGGGACCACTCAGAGGATGGAGGCACCGGTACTGAGCTTGGAAACTCCAGCAAAGCCGCCAAGCCGGCGAAAATCTCCCACCGAACTCCCGAAGACACCTTGATGGAGGTCCCAGGCAGCCTGATGGCCCTCCAGGTCTGTGCCTAGGCTGATGAGTGGAATTGACTGGACCATGCCACTCCCCTCGCCCATGCGGCATGGGCCCTGCTGCTTCCTATCCAAGGCGAGATCTCATCAGGATCCATACCCAGCTCCCTCTACACCTTTCCATTACCCCTCGTTAACACACAGATCAACGGTGTACTAGAGGATGCGCTGGCAGACTCCGCCCTGGTGGGGCCCGGCCTGAGCCAGTACCTGGAGGCTCTGTCGGAACACCTGGCGACTGCGACGCCAACCCAGGCCGACAGCAGGGCCTTCATGGAGTCTGTGCAGCTGCTGCTTGCGGCCATGAGCTTTCTCCCAGGCAACCGACCCTTCAAGTACCAGGCACCCACTTCGGTTCGCGCGATTGGACCAGCCGCTCTGGAGTGCGTTTTGTTGGGGGAGGGAGGCGTGCTCAGCGTCGACGTGGCGCTCGAGATACCGGCCTCCTGCTTTGACGACAAGGACCAGCTGAACAACCGGTGCGGCAGGAGTTCAAGGGCCGTGATTCGAGGTGGCTCTCTGTCCTGGCTTTACCAACCGATGGCCCTGCCGTACCCTTCCCTCCCCATCTCCACCACCTCCAGGTACCATGCAAAGAGAGCGCTGTACCTTGCCGAAGTCGCGGCCAGGCTGCAACGCCACCCGTCCACAGGGTCCATCGCATGGGAGGCCGGCAGCGACCCGCGCCGCCCTTTCCTCGCGCTGCAACCAGCGGCCACTACAGGCCTGGGCGGCCTGACGCTGCGCCTGCACGCCGTGCCCGCGGAGGGCACGTTCCCCCTTTCCAAACTGGCCCCGCACCGGAACAACCTGAGGGGCGTGGTCGGAGCGGACGGCCAGCCGGCTCCCACGCCCCACTACAACCACAGCATCCTCGAGGTACTTGGTATCTCTACCCCGGAGGGTATCTGGGAAGGTGGATGGGGCGGTCGGCTGTTGATGGGAATGCCTGTCAGCCTGCAAAGTTCTGTGCTTAAAAAGAAGGAAGGGAAGGGGCCGTTGAGTTGCCCATTCTTATCCATGCCCCGTACACCAGGCGATGTCTACCCGATGGGTACTTGTTCCCGCCTGCTGCCTCTGGGGCTCAGTCTCGGAATACGGAACAGCCAGCTCACGATGTTCCCTGCCACGCTCCTCCACCAGGACCTGCTGCTGCTGAGGCAGATCGCCGAGGTGACCGAGGAAGCAGCCAGGAACCCGGCCCTGCGCTCGGCCCTCGCCCTGCTGCTGGTCTGGGCCCGGGCACACTCGCTGGACGAGGGTGCCGACGGCCTGAGCCCTGGCTTCCTCGTCCAGCTGCTGCTCTACACCGCTGCCAAGGTGTGATGCTTGTGTGTGAAGGAGATGCTTAAGTGGTAGTCGGGAAAAGGAAAAGGGGGGGGGGGGCCTGGCTGGGTCGAACCGGATGGTCACCATCCTCGAGAGGCCAAGGATGTTGCTGCGGCATCGAATCCCCTCCCACCCCTTTCCCCCTTTCCGATTCCTCACACAGAGCTCGCTGCCGTCGGCCCTGGACCTGGTGCGGGCGGCGCTGGTGACGCTGTCCTCCAGCAGGAAGCTGCACGCCGGCGCGGGGCTGACGGTGCCACGCGGCGCGGGCGGCGCGCGGGACGCCGCGCTCCCCCCCTCCGCCTGGCGCGCCGCGCACAACGCTGTGCTGGTGGACTCTGGTGGCTGGGTGAACGCGGCGGCGCCGCTGTCGGCCGGCGCGCTGGCCTCGGCGGGGGAGGCCGCCCGGCGCGCGCTGCGCGCGCTGAACGCCGGCACGCCCGAGGGCTTTGCGTCTGCGTTCCGCAGCTGCACTGACCTGCTGTGCACGCTGGGCGACGCCTGGGTTCACGTCGACCTCAGCGAGGCGGCCAGCGCCAGCCAAGACCTGGCCTCCAGCGACGCCGCGCCCTGGCGCGCGCAGGAGGCCGCGACGCGCGACGTGGCGCGCCGCGCACTGGGCGACCGTGCGCGCAGCGTGCGCGTCGTGGCGCGACTCACTGCATCGGACCCGGCGCGCCCACTGCCCGGCCCAGCCGCCGCCGCGGTGCTGGTCGCCGTGCGGCTGGACCCGGTCGCTGCGCGACGCGGCGTGGACGTTGGCCCCTCGGCCGAGGACGTCGAGGGCTCCCGCGCCTTCCGCGCCTTCTGGGGCGACGAGCGCGCGGAGCTGCGCCGCTTCCAGGACGGGCGCATTGCCGAGGCGGTGGTGTGGACGAAAAGCGGCGGCGCCAAGGGCTCTGACACCGCCCCTCCGCCCCGACATGCGATCGTGGACGCGGCGCTGGCGCATGCTTTGCCCCGCCACATCCCCGGGGCGCGCGTGTCGCGTGCCTCGGCGACGCTCCTGGATGCGGCGCTGGGCGGGGAGGCGGAGGAGGCCGCGGCCGTGCGCGGCGTGGCGGCCGCCGCCGAGCGACTGGGCAAGCAGCTGCGCGGGCTGACGGGCACGGTGCTGCGCGTGGTTGCCACACAGGCGCTGGACCCGGCGACGCGTGGCGCGGCGCTGCGCGCGCCGCGCCCGCACCCGCTGGCGGGGAGCGGCGTGCAGGGCGACGCGGGCGCGGCGCTGCCGCGTTGTCTGCGCCCGCTGCCCCTGCTCTGCTCCGTGGAGGGCAGCGGGCGCTGGCCGGCGGCGCCCGAGGCCTTCCGCGTGGCCAAGGCGGCGCTGGCCTGCCAGCTGGCGACCGCGCTGGCGGGCGCGCACGGGTTGCACGCCGAGGCGCGCGCCGACGCGAGCATAGAGGTCCTGGCCCACGGCCACGCCTTCCTCCTGCACCTGGCCACGGACCGGGACGCCGTCATGCGTGAGGCGGAGCGCGCGGAGCGTGGCGCCGCACACCAGGGCGCCGAGGAGGAGAGCGCGGAGGAGGACCCCGACCAGGCGCTGCTCGTCTCGCACCAGGGCTTCGTGGGCGGGCTGGCCGCGGAGCACCCGGCCTTCACGCCCGCCGTGCGCCTGGCCAAGGCCTGGGTGGCACGGCACCTGCTCAGCAACCACCTGGGCGAGGAGGCGGTGGAGCTGCTGGTGGCCGCGGCCTTCGTCGGCCCCACGCGCCCCATGGAAGGTAGGCCCCTGGGTGGGTGGGGGTGGGCGTGCTTGATCGGGAGGAGGGGGTCCCATCTCAGGCGTAGGATGCATGGCGGGCAGCCTCTGGCACGGGATCCCTGTCGTCAGCCTCTCCCCTGGTGACCCGGGACTGGTACCTGCCAGACTCGTCTGCACCCTCCCTGCGGACTGCACTCGCTGACTCGAGCGTCCGCGCCCCCCTCCCCTCATTCCAGGCACGCCCGCCTCCCGGCTGTCCGGCTTCCTCTCCTTCCTGCACATCCTGTCGGAGCATCCGTGGAGCGTCGCCCCGCTGGCGGTGGTAGCGCTGGGGCCAGGGGGACACCTCCCCGCCGCCTGCCGCTCGCCGGCGCACCCGCTCAGCCTGCTGGTGCTGGACGGGGAAGCGGCCGTGCACAGCCCTTGGACCGCGCACCGGCCCACTGCCCCCGTGGTGCGGCGGCTGGGCGTGCTGGCGCGGCGCGCGCGCGCTGCGCTGCACGCCTCCCTGGTGCGCGGCGAGGCGGGCGTCGACGCCTGCGCCGCCGTCTTCTCGCGCGAGCTGCACGAGTGCGACGCCCTGCTGCGCCTGCGCCCCGACGCGCTGCCCGCGCCAGGTGGCGGCCTGGAGGGGGCGGAGGAGCGGGAGAGCCCGGCCGGGTCTGCAACCACCCGCACCGTCCTGGAGGCTGAGTGCGCGGCGTTGAGGACGCGCGCCTCGCGCGCCGTGCTCAGCGGCATCCCCTATGGTGAGCTTCCTGCTGTTGTGGGGCGGTGCTGGGAGGCCGTCGGTTCTGTGACGGGGGATACTTGGCAGAGAGTGTGGCGAACCGACGCTGGGGCTGCGTAGTATCTTGGCGCCCGCGTTCCACTTCAATGTGGGTCGACATGCTTTATTGTTCCACAAAGGCACACCGTCACACAACCCTGACACTCCACCCCCCCACTCCCTCCCTCCAACAGCGGTGGTGGCGAGGCGCGGGGCCGCCGCCGTTCGCCGTGAATTGCTGGTGGGCTTGGACCCCGTAGCGGCCTTTGTCCGGCGGCTACAGGCGCGCCTGGACCCCGTGGCCGTGGTCCTGGCCGATTTGACACCGGGGGCGGGCGTGGTGGGGCTCAAATGGCGCGCCCCGGCCCTGCAGGCCGCCGCCTGCCCCGTGGCAGCGGCGCAGGAGGCGGGCGAGGCCGCGTCCGGCGGGCGGGACGCGGAGGCCCGCGCGCTGGGCGCGCTGTGCGACGCGCTGTTCCTGGGCGCCGGCCTCGTGCGGCGGGTGGAGGTCGTGGAGCGCGTCCTGGTGGACACGGGCGGTGAGAATGGGGTAAACTGCCACACCCTAGAGGAGGCGCAGGGAGCCCCGATCGCCAAGCGGCCCAAGACCATGAACGGGCACAGGGACTAGACTTGTGTCAGGATGTTTTTGAGTGCCCCGCAATGAGCTGCAGTTGCTGTGCAGAGGTCCGAGTCGGTTTCTCAGACAGGGCATGAACAGGATCATGGTAGACCAAAGCTCTACCGCGTCGAGGTCCAGACACCTGGACTGACAGTGGCCCCAGAGTATCACAACCCACATGCGCCTTGCTGAGAATCCTTGGATAACTTGTTACTTGGATGGAGGGAGAGAGCATGTGCAACAGGTAATCCGGGCTGGGCACTGCAAGGCATGCACGGTACTGCCCAGAGATGACCAGAACGGGAGCAGGTTCCTGCCACGTATTAACACCTTTGTATTGAGAAAGCGCGAGGCAGGTGGGGGTATGGTTGTGAGAGCAGGCAGCGAGGACTCGCACAGGAAGACGTGCTGCTGTGTGGTGGGCTCCCACTCTCCTGAGGAGTTGGTCTGCCCGATTGGCGCGCCAGGTCGCCAAAGCACCCCCGCCTGCTCCGGCCCCCTGCCCTCCATGCCTTCACCAGCCGCCGGCGGCTCGGGGCGCGTGCTCCTGCGCCCCCGCCGAGGCCCGGGCGCTGCTCCAGGACCCGCCGCCGCGTGCGGCCGGGGGCGGCCCGTCGCGCGGCGCGGGGTCCTCCTCCCCTGCGCGGCGCTGGCGGTCGCGGAAGTGGCCGCCCGTCCACATCGCCTCGCCGTCCCGCCCCTGGGTTCGGCCGCGGGCGGCGCCGGAGGCGGAGGCCTCCTCCCCGTGACGCCAGGTCGCCTTGGCGTCCGCCGACCCGCCCCTCGCCGCCTCGGGGGCGCGGAGGGGGCTGGCGTCGCCCGACCGCGCCGACGCGGCCCTGCTGCCGCTGCGGCTGCGGGGGTCGGCGGCCCGCGCTCGCAGTCGCAGCGCCTGCAGCTCAGCCGACGCCGCCCGCAGCGCCTCGGCCACCGTGGTACCCTTGGCTGGTGCTGCGGCATCCGCAATCGCATCCTTTTCCTTGCTGGCCTCGCCGTCGACGACTGCCTCGCCACTCTTTGCTGCATCGGCAGCCCCGCCGCCGTCGGCACCCGAAGCCTGCGAGTCGCCCTCGCCTGCAGCACCAGCCCCCTCCTCCCGGGCATCCGCTGGCTTTGCAGCCGCAGAGGCCTCATCGACCAGCACCTTGTCGCCCTCCCCCGCCTCCACGCGGCGCTGGAGGGCGGCCACCTTCTCGGCGAGTTCCGCGAGGCGGGCCTCCGCGTCGGGCCCGCGCGGCACCTGGGCCAGGACCTCCTCCCGTGGTCGGGCCGCGCCGAAGACGCTGGCGCGGGAGGCGCCGCGCGAGGCCGCCTCGGGGACGGCCAGAGACAGGCGCACACGCGGGGGCGGCGCGCCCTCGGCGGACGGCGAGGGCGCGCCCTCTGCGCGGCGCCAGTTGTCCGCGCGCTCCGAGCTGCCAGAGCGCAGCGGCGAGCCGCCGCGGAAGCCCTCGCGCCGCGCGCCGTCGGCCCAGGACACGCCAAAGCCGCCGCGGCGGTCGTCGCCCTCACGCGCCGGCCGCTCGTCGAACGCCGTCGGCGGCGGCGGCGCGGGGCCGCTGCGCTCCCACCGCGGCTCGGTGTCGGCGCGGGAAGGGCCGCGCACCTCCTCATACTCCCGCCGCTCGCCGAAGCGGTCGCCAGAGCCCGACCCCGGGCGCCCGCCGCCGGAGGAGGGCACAAACTGGCGGGCCGCGCCCCAGTCGTCCACTGTGTCGGCGCGGGAGGGGCCCGACTCGTCGCGTTCGCTGCGCGGGGAGCGGTCCCGCCGGTCGCCAAAGCCGCCGCCGGAGCCGCTGCCAAAGCCTGGGAC